CACGTCGCGAATCCATCGACGAATGTTTGCGAGGGGAAGTGGCGATGTGATCTCATACGTGGGAGGAGATGTATGTGGATGCTCACAACGTACTCATACTCACATACACCACACACCGAGCACGACGACACGCAACTCAAGTGACAAACAAAACAAATGACACCACAACACACAATCCACCCACACCACACACTATTCACCCGATAACACAAAAACTACCACCACTACCGAGTTCTCATAATCGTGTCCTTGTGATCGAGTGCCCTGATGAGCTCGTGTCGTGTGTGTTGTGTTAACTATCAATATCATATGTCTCCCTGATTGCGATGTAATTGCATATAACACAGTAACATTTATGTATATGTATTATATATATAAGGCAGCATATAATTCCTATATACTTACTACGCTAATATTGCATAAAGCACTAGCTAAATAACATATAGGTCTCTCGTAGGCTATCTACATACTATGCTCCCTAGAACATTTATACTTGGTGATAGAGTAGTAGCCCTCATTATATATATATATTATATATGTGATTATATATCCCCTTACGCCGCGCCTGACTCTAATATATAGATATACTCAGCGGCCTCAGTCACGCTATAGTCCGTACTAGTACTTATATATACATATTATATGTGGTGTCGGTGTGTATGTTATGTAGTGTAGTATATGTATGTATGACATCGGCCACACCACACGCACGACACATTTATCTATAAGTATGAAAAATATACATTAGATATTTGTATAACGTATATATACAAACATGTAAAGATAGGTAGAGATAGAGAGAGGAGAGAAATGATACGGTATGAGAAAGGGGGGACGGCGGCAGGAAAAATTGGGCAAAACTTAAAAAAAAAAAAAAAGAAATTGAAAGGTACGGATATAAAAGTGTAACTCTTGTCTCCGTGCATTCTAGAGCTTGCATACTGTTGCGTCCGGACATTAGATAGAAATTTGAGAATGTTAAAAGGTCGTATAGATATGGTGAGAGACGATCTGGAAACCAACGTAGAACGAATTATCTAGTGATTTTTAAAGAGATTGTATTCCTAGGATCAACTGTCCGGCTCAAAGCTAAAAATTCCAGATCTATATTTTTTCCCCTGCGATGAAAACATTCCAAATAACATTTGCACATTAAAAATGCTTGATACAGATAGACATCTAAGACAAATAGATAGGAGCTAGCTCTAGTAATAGCTCTAAAATGCTCAGCCATCTCTCAGACACGCGGCCTATTCTCGACAGACAGCTATAGTAAGTCTCTTATTGAGCTGTATTGATTACGATTTCAACACAGAATAATCTACATTTTTGCTTGTAACCTCGTATATCCTCCTCCTAAAGAATCCCAACCAGGATACTCGGAAACTATCATGATCCTTATGCTGAGGAGAGATTCCAATTTCTCTTCAAAGTTAGCTTCTATATGTCAAATACTGGCAAAAAGAGACTATTAACACATAACACTATGATTGATATGGATCTACATACAATCCTACCTCCACAACCGGTTAATTTATCACTTGTCGTCAGTCGCAGTCCTTACAACCTCACTCTTCCTCTTGCTCTGACTTACGCTCTTGAGCCATAATTAGTGTTGCTGCTGTCAGCACAGTTTCACCTCTTCGTCGACCATCAATATTGTATACTCAATATGTAGGAGGATGATGCTACGATGCTACGACGAGTCTCTCAATGATTCTGCATCCCTAAGGATGAGTGATTATCTATCTGTGTAGACATGATTGACTAAACGTCGCCGAGGACTGAGCCTTCGTTGCTGAGCGCTCTTTGCCGGCGGCGGCACGGTGCGGCGGCGGAGAGAGGGGGGGGCTCAGACTAGGCGAGAAAATCGCGAGCGCGAGGAGAGTTTGGAGACATGGGGGAGGATTTATTGGGATGGGGGGATGGTCGTCCCACTAGCATTAGTTGGAGCAGTCGGGAGGGGAGGCAAGCTCTAATCTTGCAGAGTGTCGCGGCGGAGGAGTTGACTATAGCTGCATTGTGTAGAGGATGGGGTTTACTCATTATGATGAAAATCGTATTAAGTGTAATAGTGTCAGGTAGCTTAGATGTCATTGTGTGTGCACGTTAGGAGTTATGGTTGTATTTTTTAGCTTATCGGGCGAGGAGGGGAAGTAAGTTTATGAAGATGGCGCGGACAAGAAGAGTGAGCTAGATGCACAATTGAGAGCCACCAGGTCAGCGAGTTCATTGCTTACTGGTTGGTGTAGGGGGTTATTGCCAAAAGTATAGTTATGATGATGGTCGGGAGGTCGGGTGGAGCTCTCACTGGAAACCTTTGTGGAGGAGTTACTGGAGCCAGAATGGGGGAGTGGGAAAGGTAGTTATGAGATGGTCGGGGGATGGGGAGGAGTTACTGAATGGCGCTGCGGTGCCAGTTAAGTTAAATGGCGGATCGGCGAGGAGGAGTATATAGGTAACCTAATGAAACGTATGCGCGGTCGATGCCGGGAGGAGTTATCGTGAATGGCGGGCAGCAGTTACTGGCCATGGTGGGATGGGAGATATAGTTATGAGCATGGGGGAGGGGCAGGAGTTATGCGAATGGCGGAGGAGTTATTAGTGGGATGGGGAGGGGCGAGTAGTTATGAGAATTGAGGGAGTGGGGTAGGAGTTATGAAATGGGAGGAGTTATTGGGTTGGCAATTATGGGGAGGGGAGGTGATCGCCAAGCTTTCAGGTACATACGGAAGCGAGGAAGTTATGGTAATGTGTCTGCTCTCTTTATACACTTGGTATGTCGCGAGAGAGTATGGGACAGGTGAGGAGAGGAGCAGTTATCTGGAATGCGGTGGAAGAATTATGAAATGGCAGAGGGAGGAAGTTTAGTGCGTGGCCTCTCGAAGGTTGGAGTTAGTGGGGTTTCCAATACAGGAGTGTAAGTGGGATGCCGTGGAGACGGCAAGCGCAGCACAAGGACTCTATGTGAGTGACAGGGGGAGGGGAATATGCGGGAAGTGGGGGAAGTTATCCGCGGGTGGATTCATGGGGAGGGGAGGTGGCTGCATGGGATGCAAGGGTGGGAGATTTGTGGCAGCCGTAGATAGGTGATAGAGGGTTAAGTGGTAAGGTTTTGCCTTGTTTGAAGAAGGAGTTACTATACGGCGCCCAAAGTTTTGTTTGTCTCTCTATATGCCTCTACATATATAACCACACCCACCACTGAGCGACACACACACCTCTCTTGCTAACACACACACACACTCTAAAAGAACATTGACTCACAAAATATTGTGCTTGCTGTGTATATATGATGTGTGTAGTGTGTGTGCGCGCGTGCTGTGTCGTCAGGTGTGGCTGTGTGCTTTTGTCTGTGTGTGTGTGTGTGGCGTGGATCGGACCCACATTCTATTCTGCTTGTGATGCATTTTCACTGCGGAAAAACAATTAGTGTCACAGGTCGCTGTGTGCTGTGTGTGCCCTGTGTGTCTGTTGTGTGTGTAGATAGTACGTGATGTGTCTGCTCTACTCGGTACAGTGTATTACCACAAAATGTATCTACCTTGTATAATTACCAACTGCACTACCTCCTGCTATTCACTACTATAACTACTACTACTCACTACTACTATTACTACTACAACTACTCACCTACTACTACCTACTATTACTACTATTAACTACTACTACTACTACTAACTTACTATCTACTTACTAACTATTTACGTTCTACCCATTACTACTACTACTATAATAATAATAACCCAAATAATTAATAATAAATACCACCACATTACTACTATGCTGACTTTGAGAGCTATGAGATCATAGCTCGAATTACTAATTATCTACGCGTTTATTTCCTTTGTGCGGTTTGAATATGCCATTTTACATCATATTGTCTCCTAATGGAAAAAAACCGATCTGCGTGCACTCCGAGACATAGCAACAACAACAACATAGTCTACTATACCTCCAACACTTGCTACTTACTACAAACTCAGAAACGTACTTACTAACTATAGAAATATCATAACGCGTTCATACTTACATTGATACATAATGTAAAAAACTGCACTTTTTGAAAGCTACTTAGCAAATTCAAATTTGACGCTCTACCAGATATTGCTAAACCCGGTGTGTACCTTTCGGCAAACGAAATATAGATCAACAATAAGATAACTGATATTAATTCATCTCTCTGGAGATTTTCATGGAACAGTTATCACCACCTCATAATTGGCTTTGGCTTATTCGACTGCCCTCCAAGGCCACCGCGCAATTTACTTTGCCGTGAGCGTCGAAAAAAAATGCACAAGAGTTGGATAATGTCAGTTCCATGACGTCGTATGCGTCGCCGTTTTTAGAAGGCGCGAGCCACAGACACTGCTCTGGTCTTGGCCTCTCCTGCATTACTAGCTTTTTCCATAACTCCTTCCTGTCCTTTTACACTCTATCCTCATTTTTTACTTCTACTCGCGACCCCATTCCTTCTCTTGATCTTACCTGTTTTACCTTCCCTGTTCGTCTTTTCCGCTTCCCCGTCCTCTTTCCTTGTTCTACCTGTTTTGTCCATTCACCTTATTCCCTCGTTTATCTTATTTCTTTCTTCCTTCCCCTTCTTTTCTCTTCCCTTCCTCAATTTTCCTCCCCCTTTTCCATTCCTTCTCATCACCCCTTTTTCCTTCCTTTGGCCCCTCCCCCGTCTCTCCTTCGCCTTTTCTCTTCCCCCTTTCTCCCTCTTTTCCTTTCCTCTCCTCTACCTCTAATCCTTTCTCCCTCTTTTCCTATCGCCTCCTCTACCTTTAACTTTCTCCCTCCTTTCCTTTTCTCCTCCTCTACCTTTAACTCCCTCCGACGGCAGCATTCCCTAACGACCTGTTCAGCCGTAGGTAACTTGGCGTCAGGTGCTCTCAGGTGCTCGAGCTGCCAGCTGTACTCAAGCACCCTCTGGATTTCGCTCGGGGCGCTCACTAAACGTTTTTCGGCGGCTGTTCACATCGCGCTGTAGATCCACT